CAGTAAGGCTTTCTGCCACTGCTTCAATCAAGTTCTGAGCATACCTGCACGGTGGTTTGTCGCAGATGAATAGCTCATGTCTCTCGTTGATACAAGTTAGCAATTTCTCGTGCTTTTGCGCAGCCAAGAAGGGACTCTCTCATACTGTGCTTCTTCGACTGGTATACTTTAGTTAATATTGCAACCTTCCTTCTTTGAAATAGAAATAATTTTCGCCTTTTCAGTGGGCATCTCACCCAAATCAAACCTTGGTACCTTCTCTGTAGATGACAGTGTATAAGTAGGATATAAGACTTAGCAAGGACTAAATACAATGGAGAGTATTATCATTAGCCTCAACAGCCAACACCAACATTGAAGTTGTCGCCTGGCATCAGTAGTCAATAGCCAGAGGATAATATACCTGTTTATATTTTAAGACAACTTTTGTAGGTGATCGACGATTAGACTGCAAATCAGGAATTAATGCTGTGAGACAACCGCCAAAATTAATCCCCAGCGAAAGATGACGCCTCAAAAGCAGGTGAAACAGAAGATCGTGACAATGGGCGGCATTACAAAATGTGGAAATCAGTATTCTTTGCATAGTTTGGATAATTACAATAACAACAAAAAACAAGTGAATTAACGTTATCCAGATTTGTATGTGATGGTCATTCATTATTCTGGGAAGAGGATCACATCTGTCATTGCCATTTTAACAAACGGTTCAAGGACACGTCAGGTAGATCATACGAGCTCATACACGTGTCAAAGTCACATACACTTGCTTCACGGACTATACAGGGGTTAAGCTTATGATATCCACGAGGTGGCAAGTGTAGGCATATGTTTTTAAGTATGTCTCCTTACTTTCGCAAATGCATCTCCCAAAGGTGACTAGGTCTGCCTTAGGATCGAGTGTCAGTAGTAGTCGTAATGTCAGCAATGACCTCTGAACGATGGTTTTACGATGACGTTTGATATAATGTACGAAGATGGTATATCAAAGCGAAGGACGGGGGAAAAGCACATTTTCTTTTTCTGCGCAGACAGACATGAAGAATCGTCATCTACTCGAAACTTGTCAACCGGTCAGGCTCGAGCTCGAGTAAAATTCCATGACGACTAGAATGTCCTGCTGAAACCAATCGTTTTGTGCACTAGTGTTCGACCACAGTTCCTGTGTGACAACTGACATTGGGGAGGGTTGGTGATTCAGAAGTGGATGTGTCCTCGTCCTCTTATGAAGAGGAAACAGCCGTTATGCACTACCACCGGCAGGAACCACTGACCCTGTTTCTGAATGGCCTGGTAATCTACTGCACTACTACTGTGTGTGTGGACCGGAGCAGCGTAACAATCAAGAAACAAAAGGCGTTTCGCAAGGGATTTCGTTTAACATTGTACTAGCGTCACTCGAACGACGTAATTCGTCACATGAATAAACAGAGTGATACTTGACTGGTCAATAGTGGCACCTGAGCACAATCGAGCGATGTCCATTTGATCACGATGGATGCATAAAAACCCTGATTCAACGTTGAAAACATGTCGTCAGTTGTGGAGGAGTGACGCATCGTCGTCACATGATACAACTTGCTTAAGGCAAAAAGCCGTTTAGCTCTGTTGACCTGACTGGTTTTTTGCTGCTACATTGTCGTTTTCCTCATGCTATTATCATGTGATATCTGAACTACACAAGCAGAAAACATTTATTGTCGATATTTCACACAACAAAGTCGCAGTCGCTCAAATCACTCAGGTACTTCACGTACTTAGGTACTTCAGTTACAAGCTACGCACAAAGCTGATTGACCCACTGCTATGTAAATCCACATCTCGATTGTACAATCTGCATTGCCGATCCCTCCCCTCCCCCGCAAAACGAGCCATACGTAACAAAACATTTTATGATTTTAACCATGAAGCATGGGCGATCAGCGATTACCTCAGCCTTCGCACTACGTGAAATGGCGACGATCAGTCATCAAGTC